CAGCCACTGCCTGTGGTGGGCCAGGCAGCCCCTCAGATAGGGGCTGCTCCGGCATCCCAGTTGGAGAAGCCCCGGCTCTACCTGGAGCATCCTCTATCCATGGTGGATCCCTCCCAGGTTAACCTTAACAGGTAAGCCTCACCCTTCACAGGCAAGGCTTGCCAGTCGAACACTCAATTCCCTACGTTGTGTGCAAGATGTAAGCTTGCAGAATCAGGATGGTTATTTGATAGTAATAGTTACCTTATATTGGTAATTAGTCTTTTTAAAGGTCTCTGTTGGCATTCAAAGATATATCCTAATATTTTCTTTGAGTTACATTGCTTTTTTTCCTCTGTTGAATCTACTAGAACCTGCACACGTGTAACAGAATTCAGTCTGTTACACTATTTAGATTAAATTGCAAAACAATTCAAACTAGCTTCCTATTTAATGTACATAAATCAAAATAATCAAAGAACTCCTTGCAAAAACTTGAATAGCCCTAACTTTTATAACACAGAAAAGCATTCCAAAGAGAGACCTAAACAGTAGACTAAATGGTTTAAAATCCAACACACATTTGCCAGCATCCCTCATAGTACATAGGTCTTCAGAATTAACACTGGTACAAGCTAATATATCGGTTGCAATGTTACCTTTTTTGTTTCCTAGACAGTACTAGCCTATAGCTCTACAGTAAGCACCTACAAGTCAATTTACATTGATTTTTAAACTACAAGGAAAAATTGTAGGCATCTGGAAACTTTCCTATCAACAATTTCATAAATTTAGAAAATATTAGAACTGGAAATGTAATTAATTTGATAAATGTATCATTTTAGCTCTTGTATGCACAGAACAGATCATGTTGAAACTGCAGTATCTGAAATTACTTGCAGATATATGTTTCACTACACCACCAGATGTCACTGTCTTCCCATGATTTTGTGGAGCGATCAGAAAATGCTTAGCAGGACAGATTCCAGTCTAGTTAGGTAGCAGTTTATTAACCACACGTAGTTTGCGAATAATTCAGCAGAAGAGGTGATATTGATGGGTAGATATTAGGTTTCCTTTGAATGCAGTATGCGAATTCTGTATAAACAGAAACATTGCCTTTTGGTGGTATTGATTGTGAATGATTTTTCCCCCCCCAGTTACCACTCCAAACACAAGGGCAAACTGAGGCACAAAGGATCTAGTCTCCATCCTTTCAAGTAAGTGCTGGCCTCCTTCTTTGGAAGAGAAATGCAAGATGCTCACAGGTTAAACTTTGAATACACACTAGTTAAGAACTAACTAAAAGCAATAATACTGCATCTCTCCTGTAATTTAAAAAACATGGAGTATTAAAGAAAGGGCAATGAAGAAGGGCGGTGTGAGTCTAGTGTTCTAACATCAGACTAGTAGCCAACTAATTCTGAGATTTATTTCCACTTCTGAGAAGGACTGACGCTTTAGGTGAGTCAATTAACCTCATGGGCTGTTTCATCTTTAGTAAACTGGGCTAATAGAACCCACCTACTTCACTGAGCTGTGGTAAGGACTGAGTAGATCACACCTCAGCTGTTTTTAATAACAGGGCTATAATTCCCAACTGTTGTCTTAGCAAGGCCTTTTGGAAAGAAGGCAATTTCTTCAAAAATATGACTGATTAATTTTCCTTCCAGTTAATGAAGCAAGCCCCTCAGTTTTGTAAGGGACTTTCAAGTCCTCCTCTCCTGTACCCCAAAATGGGTGCATTTTCCTAACTTTTCCTTGTCTCTTGACTGCAGGAAGGCCCTGCAGGAAAAGGACAAGCTGTGGCTGCTGAGAGAACAAAGGCGAAAGAAGAAGCTGCGCAAACTGCTGAAGAGAATAAAAAACAATGATACATGCAGCATGCCTGGCCTCACCTGCTTCACACATGACAACCAGCACTGGCAAACTGCCCCCTTATGGACATGTAAGGATCCCACTGACTGAGCAATAACCAGGAAGATGCTGGTGCCTTACCCAGGGCAGGATTTTGGCCACCAGGCAATGCCTTGCCCACTTGTTGTCAGTCATTGTTAGCTGCCGTGGAGCAGCTTCTGTCTGCAGGGAGCTCAGATCCCCCATGGATAGGGGCTGCTGTCGCCCCTCACAGCTACTTCTATATCAGAGGCAGCAGCGCAGGGTGGCAGGTGGAGCTGATTTTTAAACAGCTGATAGGTAGAAGTGCAGGGTGTCAGGGTGCTCCCTGGGAGTGGGGTCTGGAGTGCACAAACTGCTGCTCCTGCCACTAGGGACTATCGAATAGCCATATAACTGCTCAAATTTGATGTGGTTACACAACTATCCAATTACATGGTAGCTAACATTGCCTAGACAATACACAGCAATGCATTTACTGCTGGTATTGCCGGTCCAACAGGATGAGGAAAAGTACACCACCTTTTTCTGCTGAGGCACTAATACAGGGGTGGGGAACCTAAAGCCCGGGGACTGGATTTGGCCACTGGCTTGCCTGGATCTGGCCCCTGGGCTCTGTGCCTCCCTCCCCCCCCAGCACTGGAAAGCCCATGCTGGCTGGCTGCAGGGTTGGAACAAACAAAATCCACTAGCCTGGGCCCCTCCCCCAAGAGGAATGTGGGGAGTGTTTGCTTTTCTTCTTCTCAGTCGGAGGCCACATCAGTGATCTGGAGTGCACAAACTGCTGCTCCTGCCACTAGGGACTATCGAATAGCCATATAACTGCTCAAATTTGATGTGGTTACACAACTATCCAATTACATGGTAGCTAACATTGCCTAGACAATACACAGCAATGCATTTACTGCTGGTATTGCCGGTCCAACAGGATGAGGAAAAGTACACCACCTTTTTCTGCTGAGGCACTAATACAGGGGTGGGGAACCTAAAGCCCGGGGACTGGATTTGGCCACTGGCTTGCCTGGATCTGGCCCCTGGGCTCTGTGCCTCCCTCCCCCCCCAGCACTGGAAAGCCCATGCTGGCTGGCTGCAGGGTTGGAACAAACAAAATCCACTAGCCTGGGCCCCTCCCCCAAGAGGAATGTGGGGAGTGTTTGCTTTTCTTCTTCTCAGTCGGAGGCCACATCAGTGAGTTTGGTGGGGCTTTTTGTTTTGCTTCTCATGTGTGTGCAGCCCTGACTGAAAAGGGAGTTGAGAGTGGAGGCTAAAATAACCTAATGTTTAAATCAAATAAGCATGTTGTTGACAAAGGTTTTTAAATAATAGAGTCCACTTTTGCCCTAACACATGCCAAAGAGTGTGAGATGCATACCAGTGTCTAATAATAGAATTTGCTGTTCCTTAAGTATTTGTCTCAGATGAGTAAGTAACCTTTAGGAAACTGACTGGTTTTTATCTGCCTGCTACGTAGGGATTTGCTTATTTCCAGGGTGAGAGGAGAGATTGGTCCATGGCATCTGGGAGAACTGGTGGGGTTAAGACTACAGATGGACTAATTTTGTTGTCTTTGTTGCAAATAGTGTAATTGCCAAAAACGCAGTTTCTAATTGAAGCTGTTTGCAAATTCACGTTGAACTCAGGTAATAATTTTAGCTGCAAAGTTTACTTTTTTTCAGCTCAACAAGACATTTAGTTTTGAAATTTAGCTAGGTTTAACTTAAAAGAGTTAAAAAAGGGGAGGAGGATAAAAACCACTGAAAGCCAAAACAACTTTTTGTTTCATTGAGAAAATAAATTTCTGGGTTTTTCAGTTGTCAAGGGAAAAAAAATAAGTTATTCACCCAGCTGTTATTGACACTGCCACCTGTAATACGATTCACGTTTTGGAGGATAGCAGGGCCCCTAATCACTCTAATATGGCAGGGAACATGCAGAGGGCAGAGAGGAGGTGTGTGGGACCATTCTACAGGTGGAAAAGGCAGGGCAGAATAGAATGGAGCATGTCTACAAGTTTCAGGATTGCTTGCTTTGTCTCACAGCAAACACAATAGGAAATTCATGCCAAAGTTTGGACATGAATTGATTCGGATACACGAGAGAAAAAGAAAAAATAAAAACAATTGAAAAGTGAGTAGTTATGCAATGCAAACCTAATGAAAACTTTTTATCAGAGAGAATATCAGTCAAACTATCCTTTATACTGTGAAACAAAGGGCCAATTTGGCTGTTCAACTTTGAACTGACCCTGTGAGTAACTAACATTACTCCTCAAAAATTGAATTGACAAAAAACGAGGAGTAATGTTAGTTTGTCCCGGCGCGCACTTCCTGGTTCGAAACAGCTGTGATTCGAACTAGCGCGCCGGCGAGATCATGTTAATGAAGCGCGGGATATTTAAATCCCCGCTTCATTAACTACTTCGGTTGTCTCCATTTGCATCCCTAGTCCGAACTAGGGATGCAGTGTAGACGTACCCATAGTGCCTCACCAAGCTGCTACAGAAATATATACCTAACAAAGGCTGAATGCTTCTTATGGTTTTAAGTTTCTCACTCAACCTTTCATTTGCAGTGGGCCCTTTCTGCGCCTGTACCAGTGCCAACAACAACACATACTGGTGTATGAGGACAATCAATGAGACCCACAATTTCCTGTTTTGTGAATTTGCTACTGGTTTCCTGGAGTATTTTGATCTCAACACTGACCCATATCAGGTACCTGGACAGAAATTAGAAACAAAAATACTAACATTGTGCTTTAGTTGCTAAATAAGTAACTTTTCATCAAACAATGCACATTTGAAAGAAATATCATGGTGTACAATAGAACAGTGAATATAAGGCAGTGACTTTATTAGGAACTAATAGTTCAAACTAGAGCAAAGCAGTCTCTTTTCCAGAAAAAATATTGCACTTTCCAGATTAAAAGTGCAAGTGGTGCTGAACCAGACAGTTTTTTTCTGGGGTAAGGAAAAATAGGGAGGAGAGGGTGCATTCTGCCATCTTGAGAGGACTAGAGCTGGCCCTGAATTGACAATATATTCTGATGTCAGGTCACAGCTCAGAAATAAGGATGAAAGGCTTTGTCTTATGTCTGAAGCCTTTGTGTCTCTCTGATGTAAGCTCCACTGGTGCAAACCCCTTGGAGAGATACACTGAACCGGTTATAAAGCCATGACTTTCATCCATACACTGACAATCCCTCACTTGTTAACAAGCATCTTTATTTATCCTCAGTTGATTAATGCAGTGAACACACTAGATAGAGACATTCTCAATCAACTGCACATCCAACTCATGGAATTAAGAAGCTGCAAAGGATATAAACAATGCAACCCGAGAACTAGAAACATGGATCTGGGTAAGAGCCCTTCTACTTGCATCCTCCAAATGCCCAAGTGTACCAATAATACATTTCATATAATTGCAAATGGGTTTCTAATATTATGACCTGTAGCCCAAAAAGTTAATGTTCTGTTACTTGAGGACTGTCTTTAGGTTCATGATAGCATGCACTAGATTTGTCTAAATTTCCTGTACTAGAGTTCAGCTATCCAGTTCTGTGAATTACATAGAGTTAGTATATTGAGCAAATGTAAAAGCTGTTTCATTTACTTTCCTAATATATTAAAGTAGTAGATATTTGAAGGGAAAACTAATCCAACAGTAGAAGAGTACAGAACATAGGGTACGTCTAGACTACATGCCTCTGTCGCCAGAGGCATGTAGATTAGGCTACCAGACATAGTAAAATGAAGCGGCGATTTAAATAATCGCCGCTTCATTTAAATTTACATGGCTGCCGCGCTGAGCCGACAAACAGCTGATCAGGGCACAGCTGTTTGTCGGCTCAGCTCCCAGAGGCATGTAGATTAGGCTACCAGACATAGTAAAATGAAGCGGCGATTTAAATAATCGCCGCTTCATTTAAATTTACATGGCTGCCGCGCTGAGCCGACAAACAGCTGATCAGGGCACAGCTGTTTGTCGGCTCAGCTCTGGATACGCGGGTGTCGACATCAAAGGTATTTGTCGACCACCCAGGTATGCCTCCTGGAATGAGGTTTACCTGGGTGGTCG